ACGCTCCACAGCATCAGCAGAGACACAGAGAACATTCAAGGTACACTACAGTTTGGGGTCAGTAAGATTTTTTTGTTGTTGTTGTTGTTGTAAGAAATCAATACTTTCAGCACGGATGCATTATGTTGATCAAAAGTGACATTTATAATGTCAAAGATTTACATTTTAAAAAATGTGGTTCCTTTCTATTCATCAAAGAATCCTAAAAAAAAAATCAGCACAATTGTTTTCAACATTATTAGCAGCAAATCAGAATATCAGAATGATTTCTGAAGGATCACGTGACACTGAAGACTGGAGGAATGATGCTGGAAATTCAACTTTGCAGAGTAGGATTAAATTACATTTTAAAATGGATTGAAATAGAAAACAGTTATTTTAAACTGTAATAATATTTCCAAAAATTTAACTTAAAAAAAAAAAATTATTAAAAACTGCAGCCTTGGTGAACATAAGATACTTCTTTAAAAAAAAAAAAATTTTTTTTTTAAATCTTATGATCCCAAACATTTGAATGGTTTCAGAAACTTAAATTATAGCATATACTATAATTAAATTACACTATAGTGAAATTGCAAGTATGTTTAAACTCTTGTGGTTTCTGTGTTCAAATAAGGATCCTACTCCAAACATGAGTTCCAAGCAGAGACGAAGAAACTGCTGGATATTGTGGCCAGATCACTGTATTCTGAGAAAGAGGTGATAAATGAACATAAACAGATGTAATGCTGTCATGTTTGATCAGTTCTCTTGATGCATTCAAGACTGTATGAACCTACAGGACTCAGTCGAGTGATTAACCAATGCATTTTTCAGGCTGATTATTTGATTTCATCCAAGTTGTCATCATTAATGTTGTATTATGTATCTTGAATATATTGCTCACCCTGTAGATTTATTTGATCAAAACTAATCAAATAAGTACATATTTAATCAGCTTGATATGGCTAAATATTGTCAATTGTCTTATTGGAGAAGTTTTACACTAATAAATATGGCATTTTAAGGATTGGATCCTGATTTATAACTAGAAAACCACCCCAGAAATATCTACATAAATTATAATAGAACAATGCATGAATGGAAGAAAAGTCATATGAATATATTGATCAGTCTGTAACTCAGTCTAACGGTCAGTGGTTTTCTGGCACACACCTGCTCTGTTAGGTGTTCATCCGAGAGCTCATCTCAAACAGCAGCGATGCGCTGGAGAAACTGCGGCACAAGATGATCACAGCAGGAGGAGATACAGCACCAATGGAGATCCACCTGCAGACAGATGCTGCCAAAGGCACCTTCACCATCCAGGTACCTTCAACCCATACAGCTCCTCAATCACGGCTCTGTGAGGGGCTCAAGAACAGAATCATGCATTAGAATCAGATTAAATAGCTGTTAATGCTACTCCCGTTCCATTACCCATCACTTTATTTAAATTCTCAAGACCAATAGTGTTGTAAGGGAAAAAGATGACGAATAGCATTTCTATCGCCAATTTGTGTAATTCCAAAGCTGTTTTCAGACATTTCAGACAACTCTGCTGTTCCTCATTCTGACAGTAGGTTTTATTTCATGGTCCTCTTGCTCTTCCTCCATCAGGCTTTTCTGGATGCTCTTCAGAATCAAGCGGAGGCCAGCAGCTCCATCATCGGTCAGTTCGGTGTGGGCTTTTACTCCGCCTTCATGGTGGCTGATAAAGTGGACGTTTATTCTCAGTCAGCAGAACCAGGCTCTCCTGGATACAAGTGGTCCTCAGATGGGTGAGAAAAATCAGAAGACAGATTAATTTAATTACAGTTTTAGGAATGTGCTTTTTGTATTCATGCTCCTTGAAAAATCATAATCATGATTATTTCGGTCAATATTGTAATCATGATTATGTTAATAATCGTTGGAAGCCAAAATCGAAATCAAAATTAAACTTTGATGAATCGCACAACCCTACTTTTTATTAAAGGGGTCATATGATGCGATTTCAAGTTTTCCTTT